AAGTTTCTATAGTTTCTTGTGCTATTGATGTCTAGTTTGATTGCACTATGATCTGATAATAAACAGGGGATGACTTCAATTTTTTTGCATTTATTTAGACCTGTTTTGTGAGCCAGTATGTGGTCTATTTTGGAGAATGATCCATGTGCAGCCGAAAAGAATGTATATTCTGGTTTTTGGGGGTGGAATACTCTATAAACATCTATTAAGTCCATGTGTTCCAAAGCTTGGTTCAGTTCTATTATTTCATTGTTGATTTTCTGCCTAGTAGATCTGTCAATTTGTGATAGTGGGGTATTTAAATCCCCCACTACAATTGTATTAGTGCTTATTTGGTTTTTCATGTTACTTAATATTTGTTTTATATAGTTGGGGGCATTTATATTTGGTGCATATATGTTTATGATTGTCAGCTCTTCCTCTTGAATTGTTCCCTTTACAAGGATGTAGTGTCCTTCTTTGTCTCTCTTAATGAGTTTTGGTTTGAAATTTACTTTATCTGAGAATAAGATTGCTACCCCTGCTTTTTTCTGGACTCCTGACGCATGGAGAATTGTTTTCCATCCTTTCACTTTCAGTCTATGGACTTCCTTTTGCACTAGGTGTGTTTCTTGTATACAACATATTGTTGGATTTTGCTTCTTAATCCATTCTGCCAATCTGTTTCTCTTGATTGGTGAATTGAGGCCATTAACATTGATGGTTACAACTGATATATTTTGACTTATTCTTGTCATGTTTTTGTCCATTTGTTGACTCTTTTTACTTTTTCTCCCATCTCCTTTTAGTTTCTTGCCTTGCCTATTTGATTTGGTCTGTTGGGCCTCATGTTATTGTGAATTTCGTTGTCCTTTTCTAGGATATTGTTTAGAATTCCTTGCAGTGCTGGTTTGGTGTTCATGAAATTTCTCAGGTGCTCTTTGTCGTGGAAGTATTTTATTTCCCCATCTATTTTGAAAGAGAGTTTTGCAGGATACAAAAGTCTAGGTTGGAGATTCTTTTCTTTTAGGACTTGGAATACCTCACTCCAGGCTCTCCTTGACCTAAGGGTTTGTGTTGAAAAGTCTGCTGTGATTCTAATGGGCTTCCCTTTGCATGTGATTTGTTTCTTTTCTCTTACTGCTTGTAGTATTTTGTTTTTCTGTTGGATTTCTGGAATCTTGATTATTATATGTCTAGGTGTAGATTTTTTTTGATCGTGGCTAGTTGGGGTTCTATATGCCTCACTTATCTGTATGTCTAATTCTTCCCTTCTGTTTGGGAAGTTTTCTGTCATTAATTCTGTGAAGAGCTTTTTTATATCATTTGTGTTTTCTCCTGTTTTTTCATGAATTCCTATCAGTCTTATGTTATTTTTCTTTGTATCGTCTAGGAGTTGTTGGATTGATTTCTCATGATCCCTTACTGTTTTTAAGAGACCTCTTTTTTCACGGTCACTGACTGCGATCCTATCTTCTATATCTGAAATTCTTTCTTCACAATCTTTTACTCTGTTTCGTACACTTTCAATAGAGTTTTTAATCTCCTGGATATCTGTTTGAATCTGTTTTATGGATTCCATTTCTTTCCTCTGTTGGGCATTCATTGTTTCCATGTCTTTCTTATGCTGAGTCTTCATGGCTTCTATCACAGTCTTGAGCTCATCTATTTTTTTCTCAGTTTCTGCTCTAGAGTCTCGAATCATGACTTCTATTTTGCTCATCATCTCTCTGGCTAGCTGGGAAATTATTTCTGATTTGAATTTTTCTAGAGCCTGATTGATCAATTTTGTTACCTCCTGTGCTATGGGTCCAGGGAGTCCTGTTGGTTCACTATCAGACTTTTCATCCTCATTTGTCCTACTATTTGCTATTGGTGAACTGGATATTTGTTTTTGTGTCTTGCTTAAGTGTTTTCTCATTTTTATTTTTATTGTTGGGTTGTCCTTCTTTAACTTCTGGGTATTACTTAAATCTTCCTAATATAGTTGTGTTTTAGCTTTTGAGTTTCTAATGACTCATAGACATCCTCATTTTCATAATATCAGAGAAAACAACTCTTTAAATCAATCTCAACCCTTTATCCCCATTGATACT